ATTAAAAAGTGGTTAACTAGCAAAATGTTTATCAGGATATCAGCAACATTTTACTAGTTAACCACTTTTCGATATCTTTCAGAAGAAGTGAGATATATAGGCTCAAAGTGGACGATCCGGGTGTCGTTCTATTAGAGGTTTTACGGTAACAGAAATTCGCTCAAGACCCGCAAGCAAACTTTTCGCTTGCTCCTTTAACATACTGTAAAAAAATCACTATATCCAAAAAAAATTGGGAATTCTGAATTCCGTTCCGAACATTCCTGTTTTTCATTTCAAACGCCTGTTATCGATATATTGCGGAAATTAGAAACTTCGAACAGAAATTCTAATTTAGAATATGAAACTTTGTATGAATGCCCGTACCCCTCTGCATATGAAATTTGACTCTTGTATGCTCTTCCCCCTATCTCATTTTGCACTGCTTTCTTCTTCCAAACACAATGTTCTTAGTGTTGTTCTATTCACTAATGGATACATGCTCTCCTCTCTTCTCCTCTTAGAGAATGTTTCCATGTGGTCATCATCTTCATAAGTGGAATAGGAAGGATACTAATGTGCTGAGAAAAATAGGGAGGAAGGGACCATCACCACCATACACGCACTTCTACGCATTGTGACAAAAGCCTCCTGCAAGGGGCTAATCACAGACAAAACAAGAGCAGTCGAATGATTTAAGTTCGATTCATATAAAAAGTTTGTGTCCTCCTCCTCCTCCTCCTCCGGACTTCACTGAATTCCAATTAGTTGCACACTAGGGAGTTCTTGAAAGAGGAATGTGTCTAAAATGAAGCACCGAAAAAATGGAAATGAAGCTCATCGTGGTCCTGTTGTTGTATAGTGTAGAGAGGGTTCTTGAGTTAGAAAGAAAAATAGTGAAAGAAAAAAGTTAGGGGATGTCTCCACCATTTTTATTTTTCAGCCGTCCTACTATCTGGCAATCAGTGAGAGCGAAAAACCAGGAAAAGATATTTTCAAAGCAACTGCCAACGATTTCGATGGAGGAAATAATGGAAAAATCAAATTTTCATTGGGCAATAATGGAGCAGAATCATCAGTTATTTCGATTGAGCCCAAGACTGGAATAATCAAACTTCTGAATCCACTGGATCGAGAAGAACAAGATGTGCACTATTTTTCTATTATTGCATCAGACGACGGAGACCCAGCTAGGATTACGGTCACCAACCTTACAATCACTGTTGACGATGTCAATGACAATGCACCGAGATGTGTGTCTCAAGTTGCCAAAGCTCGAATCCCGGAAGATTTGCCACATGGTGCATTTGTTGCATGTTTGGCTGCTTTTGATGAAGACGTTGGATTGAATTCGAAGCTGAAGTTTTTACTGAACGCGGAAAAAGTGCCATTCAGAGTTGATCATCACTCCGGTTGCTTGCTCGGTAACTCTCCTGATGTCCCTCTCGACTACCAGAAAACTCCAAATTTCAATTTGTCGATTGAAGTTGCCGATCACGGAGAGCCAATGCTTTCCACCACTTGCTTTTTGGAAGTGGAACTTGTCGATGTCCCACATAAACATTTAGCGATTGAGTTTGATGACGTTGCGAAAGAAGCAAGTGTCTATGAGAATTCTGAAATCGGAACTGAGGTTATCATGGTGGAGGCAAAAGAAATGGGAGATGAACAAAAGGTGAAAGCTGAAAATTTGGAATACCGCATTATTGGAGGAAACGGCTGGCCATATTTTTCAATTGATCAAAAAGGAACAGTTCGAACTACCCATATTTTGGACCGCGAAAAAAGATCGGCATATTGGATTACTGTAGAAGCTAGAGACGCAAAAACCGACTTTTATAAAGATCCGAGACGAAGAGCGGTTCTTCATGTTTTCATTCGAATTCTCGACAGAAATGATCATCGTCCAGTAGCCAAAAGTGCAATGTACATCGCGAGTGTTCTTGAAAACTCTCCAGCCAACGTAGTTATTGTGAAAGTGGAAGCTACTGATGCAGACGACATTGATAACGATGGTGCAGCTCCACTCACTTTCAAAATTGAACGAGGAGATCCACAATCATTCTTTAGAATTGATCTAGCTTCTGGATACATAACAACTTCTGGGATTCGACGATTGGATAGAGAGAAACAAGCTGAACATGAACTTTGGATTTCAATTTGTGACGGAGGAGAGCCACAATTGTGCTCGAATGTCGTTGTGATTGTGAAGGTTTTGGACGAAAATGACAATGCCCCTACATTCACCCAAGCTATGCATCATTACAATGTTCGATCGAAACACATTGGAAAACTTTGCCGGTAAGCATTTTTGCAAAGGCCTCTGGTTCATTTAACTAACTTCAACTTTAAATTTTTCAGAATCTTTGCTGTCGACATTGACGAAGGAGAGAACTCTCACTTATCATACAACGTCACAGAAGGAGACCCACGTTTCTCAATCGATGAGAATGGCAACATTATGACATCGGAAGCAATCCATAGCGATGAAAGCTATGCACTGACACTTCAAGCCACTGATCATGGTAGTCCTTCGCAGCAATTTGCAGCAACTCGAGTCGTTCTGACTGCTGTAGGATCCAGCCAGAAAACGAAAAAGTCCAAGAATTCTCCACCTGTCATTTCTGGAAAGAAATCGGATTATGTCATCCCGATATCCGACGCAGATCAAGTTGGCCTCACTGTTGGAAAATTGGAAGCGACTGATGCAGATGGAGACGATTTGTGGTGGAATATCTTTTCGGGAGATTCAGATTCGGTATTCGATGTTAGACAAGATACTGGACAACTCTTGTTAGCCAAGAAAGTGGAATTGCTAAAAAGAGGCGAACTTCGATTGAACATCAGCGTCACCGATGGACAGGATGTGGATCATACTACTGTCATCATTCAAGTCTCCCGTCAGATCTCCCAAAGACCAGCGTTCTCTGCTAATCGTTACGACACTCTGGTTTCAGAAAGAGTCGCAGTTGGAACACAAATTCACACATTGAAAGCTACGGGCGAGAATCTCGGAACGAAACCACTCGTGTACAGCTTGTTCAGCATTGATGATATAGCGATGGAAGATAAGATTCGTGTGGAACCAAGCAGTGGAAATGTGATTGTCATGGAGCCATTAGACTACGAAGTTGCATCTCAAATCCGAGCAGTTGTGCAGGTTCAACAAGCTAATATGAAGAGTTTTTCTAAACTTATTCTGGAAGTCACCGATGAAAACGACAATGCTCCATATTTTGTAGAACACACTGCCTGGGCTTTCGTTGACGAAAAGTGAGTTTTTACTTAATGTTTCTAATTTAAACCTATAATATTTGTAGCGATTCGGTGGATGATGTTCTTGCTACAGTAACTGCGTTCGATAGAGACCAAGACGATAACGGAATAATCACATACTCAATTGTCAGCGGAAATGAGGAATCACTTTTCAAAATCGATTCTCACAGTGGAGAAGTTCGATTGGCTCGTCTAATTGATCCAGAAATGCAACACGTCGTTTCCATTCTTCGAATCAGAGCCAGTGATTCTGCAACGATATCTCTGAAAGACGAACTAACTCTTCACATCAAAAGTTCCAAATTAACTTCAGAAAATGCAAAGTTCGATCGAAAAGTTTACCAAACATCTCTCCACGACTCAACTAGACCTGGGACACCTGTCCTTGTTCTGAATGTTCTCCATCACGGTGCGATCACATTCAAACTGGAACCGAATTGCACTTTCTTTGATGTTCACACACTTTCTGGAGCTGTTCATCTTGCCAAATGGATCACGAAAGAAAAACAACTGAAGACCTTGGAATGTACAGCATATGTCGTAAACGGGGATGGGCAACAAGACACAGCAAAGATCGTGGCGAAGATCATTCGAACAAATCAGCATTCGCCGGTTTTCCGGAAACAAGTATATCGAGGAACTGTTCGGGAGAATATGGAACCTGGAAGTTCGGTACTCTCAAATCGTCATCTACCACTGGTACTTTTGGCTTCCGACGAAGATTCCGGATCGAACGGACTTGTTGGTTATCGAATGTTGTCTAAAGCAGATGAAGAAATGTTCACAGTCGATCAGTATTCTGGAGCGGTTCGGACCAATAAGGCATTTGATTTTGAAAAGATCAAAGAGCACTCATTCTATGTACAAGCATTGTAAGTGGTTTCTCATTCTCAATCTTTCAGTAAATCTATTTTAAAAAATTTCAGCGATATGGGTCAACCACCACGTCAATCCCTCATGCCAGCTCTCGTTGTCGTCACTATCTCCGATGAAAACGATGAAACACCTAAATTTGCTTCTCAATCTCTCGATGTCATTATGTTGCTTCCAACTGCTTCTCAAGCTGTAGTTGGTGGACAGATGTCGGATGACGCAGATTCGATTGGAACCCTTCGATACTATATCAAGGACTCTTCTTCACCATTCTCCGTGGATAGCAAGACCGGAATAGTTTCTGTGAAAGATTTCAAAGCTTTTACAAACGAAAAGAAACATTACAATGTGGAAGTTTTTGTCACAGATGGCAACCAATCAACGTCGTATACTATGAAGGTTACAACAACGTCCACAGCTGAAAACTCAAAGTTCAAATTCACCCGACAAGAATATCGAGCATCAATCGTTGAAAACTCGACGCTTACTCCGGGTACAGTAATCTTACCAGTTGCTACAACCGGAGAGAAACAAGTTCACTTCACTATCGTAAATCCACATGAAGCCTTTTTCATTCATCACGGAACTGGTGTTATTTCTGCTACAGGAATAGCCGTTGATTGCGAACTGTCTCCGGTTATTCGATTGGTTGTGGAAGCGAAAACTCATGAGAAGAACCCACAAATTGCAAAAGCATTGGTACTCATTGATGTTCAGAATGTCAACGACGAAGCACCTAAATTCATTGGTACTCCATACAGTATTACTGTCGGACCTTCTGAAATTGGAACAGTGATATTGGAACCAAAAGTTATTGATAAGGATGAAGGAGACCATGCTACGATTTCTTCAAACGATATGCCGCAGTATTTCAAATTGGTTGGAGGAAAAGTCGTTCTGGCGAAGAAGTTACCAGCAATCGAAGATCAAGATTTAAAATTTAGTTTCAAGCTTATTGCGAAGGATAATTCATCAGTTCATCAAGTAGAAGAGCCCGTGGTAATCAGAGTTGTCGATAAAGCTCGTCCTGTCTTCTCACAAAGTATGTACACCGCTGTTATCTCAAAAGAATCAACGAAGAAGAGTACTGTGCTCGTGCATGTTTTGGCGAGAAGTTCATTGCAGGCAAAGTCCAAAGGTCTTATTGGATATCGGATTATCGATAAAGCGAACCTATTTTCGATAGATTATGTAACTGGAGAAGTTAGGCTGAAAAACTTGAACGGGCTCGATGCTGCTGAATACGTTTTCGAGGTTGAAGCTCGTGAAGTTACGCTCCCAAAAATGGCATCGAGAGCTCAAGTGAAAATTGTTGTCAAATCGAAATCAGCGGTACAAAAACCAACGTTTGACAAGCAGAAATATTCTGTGACTGTTCCCGAATCAGCTTCTATTGGTCAGCGTATCATCACTATCAACTCATCAACTCCGGATCCAAACGATATTCTTCAATATAAACTTTCTGGAACTAACGATGACCAACCCATGTTCGAGATTGATTCTGAAACTGGAGAGGTTTCTGTCAATAGGCATTTGGATTACGAAAAAGTTCAGAAGTACAAAATGTTAGTGATTGCTACGTCATCGGCAAAGCAACAATCGTCGGAAGCGGATCTGATTGTGATGATCGAAGATGTCAATGATAATATGCCAGTTTTCATTAGACCAGAAGTGAAGGCTGAGGTTTCGGACGCAGCTATCAGTGGACAGTTTATCACCATCATGTCTGCAACAGATATGGATACGACAAGCTCTCTAGATGATCCAAATCAGAAACTTCTGTACAAAATTGTTGATGGCGATGAAACACTTTTCAATATTTCTCCTTCAACCGGAGAAGTTTCATTGGCGAGACGAATTGAACAGGAAGATTTGACATCTGAATCAGAAGATCCTAAAAAAGTTGTGAACGTCTCAGTAACCGATGGAATGTTTACTGCTTATGCCAAACTCGTTGTGGGTATTCTAAGAAGTGGAAAAATGCAACCACCACCCAAATTCGAACAGAGTCATTATGTGGCAACTGCACTCGAGAATACGTAAGTGATCACATAATAACGATATTCCCATAAACTTATGAACTTTACAGTATCGTCAATAAGTCTGCGCTTCTAACAGTTGCTGTCAAAGGAGGAATCCCACCACTCAGATATTCACTTGGACCAGCTGCCTACTCGAATTCTTCATCCAGCAAAGACTCATGGCCAGTAGCAATTGATAAGAAAACTGGAAGAATCCACGTATCAAGAGTACTCAACTATCACAATGATAAGTTGTACCAAATTCCACTTGTCGTGGAGGATGTCACCAGAAGAAGAGCCTTCTCCACACTAACTTTATCTGTCATCGATATCAATGATAAACCACCATTTTTCGTGCTCCCCTTCTACAGTACGTCGATTCCCGAAACTGCGAAGGAAGGAGATACGGTATTGATGGTTTCGGCAACAGATGAAGATGAGAATGATACGGTAGGGTTTTAAATTGTTTATTTCAAATTTTTAAAAGCAAATTTTCAGATCGAATATTCTCTATTGGACGGTGGCGAATCTCAGTTTTTCTCCGTTCACCCAAGACAAGGAACGATTACTGTTTCGAAGAAACTCGAGCATAAAGCAGGCGTCACGTTGTCGCTGACCATCAAAGCAACTGATTCTGCTAACCCACCACACCATGCAACTACAACAGTAGAGATCAATGTTGCAAGTGAAAGTGTCAGAGTTCCAAGGTTTTCAAACAGCCATTACTTGTTCTTCGTTCCTGAAGATGCTGATATTGGAGATGTAGTTGGCAGTGTTCAACAGATGGAAACAGAAATTGATGAAGTTCGCTTTACTATCGTGCCTGGATCAGAAGTATCCGATTCTCTGCTACCGTTCAGTGTTGAAAGATCAACTGGAAAGATCATCGTGAAGAGCAGTCTGGATCGAGAAAGACGAAAACAATGGAAAATGACGATTCGAGCTGATGCAGCTGGTGGTGTTCATGCGATTACTACAGTCACTTTGGATATCCTGGATGTCAATGATAATGCACCTGCCTTCCATGGAGACTATGACAAGCTAACGATTTCGGAAGATGCAACCGTTGGAACTAGTGTAACTATATTTTCTGCAATGGATCGTGATGATTCTCCGAGTGGCAGAATTCGTTTCTCGTTGGTTAATAAGGATCCACACTTTGAGATGAATGGAGATAGTGGCTGGTTGACAGTTGCAGCTCCGTTGGACCGAGAAACTCAGGATCTTTATCAGTTAATTGCTCGCGCTACCGATGAAGGTGGATTCAATACGGATCTGTCTTTCACGATATCCGTCAATGATGTCAACGATTCTCCGCCGAAATTCGAGAAAGATGAATTCGATGTTGATCTTTTGCTTCCATCCAATGCTCTTATTCTTCATTTCGACATCAAAGATGAGGACCTGGCACCCAATAACCATTCACTTCTCTTCATTTCTGAAGGAAACGAAGAAGGTGTTTTCTGGATTGATTCGGAAAATAATCTTCTACTGAAACGACCGGAAATTGTGGAGAACAAAAAAGAGTATTCTCTGAAAATTATCGCATTCGATGGAGTGTTTGAAGCAAAAACTTTGGTCAAAATTCATTTAAAATCAAAGGAAGATGTGAAGACAAGATGCCCAGATGTGGAAAAAACTGTGATTCTTCCTGAAAGTTCGAAAAAAGGAACTGTAGTTTTCGGCGAATCGAGTCTTCTCGGGCCCAATACCACATTCAAGTTGATTGAGGAAGGAGCTGAAAATGCTTTCGTGATGAATTTCCGAAATGGAATCATCAAAGTCAAAGAAGTAGGGCAAATCGATTATGAGAAAACTCAAGAATTCGAACTCATCCGACTCACAATTCAAGGAAAAGATGAGCTATGCAAAGAGAGGATAACAGTGAAAATCGAGAATCTGAACGACAATCCACCAAAAATAAAGGAAAAATCAGTTTATGTTTCAATAGAAGAAAACTTGCCAACGAGTCAAGATTCCCGACAGTATCTGACTCGAATCGCAGCAGAAGATGCGGATTCTGACGACATCCATTTCCGATTGTTGGATGACTTCAACAAAACTTTTGAAATCGATGAATTTAGTGGAGTCGTGACTGTTCTGAAACCATTGGACTCGGAATCAGTCTCTTCGTTTAATTTGACTGCTATTGCCAGTGATGGAAACTTTGAAGATAAAGGTAGGTATTATTTTATAAATTAAACTAAACATACTATTATTTTTGCAGCTATCATCGTTGTCACAGTGATTGACAAAAACGACAATGCTCCTACGTTCGAAAAATCGACTTATTCGATGAAGGTGATGGAATCGGAGGCAGTTGGCTATGAACTAGCACGTCTGCAAGCGTTTGGAGGCGATACAAACGAAACGATCGAATATTCATTGAAGGCTTCCGATCATAATAAGTTTGTCAGTTTGAATGCCCAAAATGGAGTTCTCACATTGGCACAACCTCTGGACTTTGAAACGATTTCCACCTTGAGACTTACTGTAATTGCAAAGGATTCTGGAATTCCACCATTGGAAAGCGTGGCTCAAGTGGAAATATCTGTAATGGATGAGAACGATAATGCACCGAAATTCGAAAAGGAGAAGTACACAGGAAAAGTGAAAGAGAACTCAAAAGTTGGAGAAAAAGTGTTAACTGTGAAAGCAGTCGATGCAGATAGTGAACATTTCGGAGCAGTTTCATACGAGTTGGAGCTGATCGCGGATAAAGCATCAGATGATTCTCTTCCTACCACTTCTGTGACTCCTCCTTTCTCGATCAACGCTAATGGAGATGTTCTGATCAATCAACCGATTGATTACGAGAAAACCAAGAAGTATAACCTGAAATTGATTGCAAAAGATGGCGGAAGACCTCCTCTTGTATCAGAAGCACTATTGGACATCCACGTAGGAGATGAAAATGACAATGCACCAGTTTTTGACGATTGCAATATGACAGCCGTTGTTCAAGAGGGTGAATCTATTGGACATAAAGTTCTGAAATTTTCAATTTCCGATTTGGATGGTCCGACGAATGGAGCTCCTTTCACTGTCGAAATTCAAGGGGATGGAGCGAAATCATTTAAAGTTAATGATAAATTAGAACTTTTGACCGCGAAGAAGTTGGAGCATCGAAATAAAGATAAGTATTTGCTGACGGTTATTGCAAAGGATACCAAAGGAAAATCCACTGATTGCCCACTAACAGTCTTTATAAGACAAGCTAGTCGTCATGCTCCAACAATGAAACCGATGAAGATTCAAGTGAACACATTACAAAACGAGTTGCCAGAAGGAGTGATCGGAAGGTTGAAAGCATTCGATGAAGACGAAGAAGATCAAAATGGTCTTTTACGATTTGGAATCGTCGAAGGATCCACTCAAAGTCCAAGAGTACAGATGCAGGAATCTCGTCCAACTCATTTATTCCGCATTGATCCAACCACAGGAGATATTTGGTCAGATCATTCGATTCCCCAAGGATTGCACACTTTCAATGTGACGGTCTCAGATGGTAAATTTACTACTGTCAGCTATGTTGAAGTTCAAGTTAATTCAATTGATAATGATGTCATCGATCACGCTGTGTCAATTAGAATCCGATCAATGACAGTGGAGGATTTTATGAAGAACCACGTCAAGGAGTTCCGCCGAATCATCTCACACCATCTCAATTTGAACGATGAGAATAGTATTCAATTGATCAGTGTCCAACAAGTTCCTTCCACGGATTCAGCGAGAAACAGACGCAGTAAAAGAGGACCATCGGAAGACGTAGAAGTTCTAATGACAGCTCAACGCGGGCATGGAAGAGGTTATTTGAAGCCAGACCATGTTTATTCACGACTGAAGAACGACTTCCAAAATATGAACGATCAGAGTCAAAGAATGCGATATCAACTCATCACGGAAATGTGTACAACTGGAGTTTGTCTTCGTGGAGAATGCCGAGAAGTGATTGAGCTGATTGATGATAGTTGGACCAAAGTTTCAACTGAAGAGTTCTCATTTGTTTCACCTTTCCACTCCCGATTCGCTCAATGTCTTTGTCCAGATGGTTTTGGTGGAAAACGGTGTGAAATAGAAACGAACCAATGTTCAAAATCTCCATGTGAGCAATGGCAAATGTGTATTCCTTCTGTCTTTAATTCCACTTTCGAATGTGTTTGTCCATTAGGAATGGAAGGAGACAGATGCTTGGTTCCTTCGTGTAAGAACGACGGAAAGTGTTTAGAAGGTAAGGATGTTTTTTTTCAGTTTTAGTCAAAATGTTATCAATTTCAGAAGCCGAACTCTCGGTCGGTGGAGATGGTTACTTTGAAATTTCACTTTCCAACGAAATAGAGTCCCGAATGGAGTTGGAAATCGAATTAAAAACAACCTCTCCGAATGGCATAATCATGTGGAGTCGTGGAAGACACGATTATCATATGCTCCGGCTTGTCAACGGATCTGCACAATACCACTGGGATGCAGGAACTGGAACTGGAATCGTCACTTCTAAGACTCTAATTGTTGATGGTCAATGGCATCGAATTACAATTTCCAGAAGGCAGCGAAGAACACGAATGACTGTTGATGATGACGGTTTAGAGGAAGCTTTCAGGTTTGTAATGTGCACAGTTTCAGTTTTAATTAATAATACGATTTTCAGTCCTGTTGGTTCCACGGTTGTCAATTTGCATCGTTACTCTCAAAAACTAGTCCTCGGAGCGAAAGTGGAGAATGGACAACTGACAGATGGTATTTCAGGCTGCTTCCGAACAATTTCAATTGATGGAATAAAAGTTTTGAAAACGAGACAAGGAATGAAACTGTTTGGAGTTCAGCCAGGATGCTCTGCTCTGACGTCATCTCCTTGTAACGATTTGCCTTGTAAACATGGAGGAACTTGTGTTTCACATGGAAAATCCCAGTTTGTGTATGTTATAAGAAGAAAATCGAAACTCTAATTGAATTTATTTTCAGTTGTCAATGCACATCTCGATATTCTGGAGACACATGTGAAATCGATTTGGAGCCATGCTCATCTACTCCATGCCCGACCGGAATTCAATGTATCCCCTTCTACAATGACTACCTATGCAAGTGTCCCAATGGTTTCACTGGAAAACACTGCGAGGCACGTGGATTCGAAGATCACGAAACCTCCTCATGCTCCAAAAATGTTTGTGGATCATCTGGGCAATGCATCTCAATTCCAAGACACTCTCTGGAAAGTTCTGATTTTATATGCAACTGTACTGGTGGTGTACTCCAATCCACTCCGTGCACTGAAAAATCAGAAATCCTCACAAATGTTCTGGAATTCCTTCTGAAAGCCGAAATTGTAATTGTACTTCTGGGCGTTCTCTTTTTACTCCTCATATGTTGTTTGGCTTTCGTCACGTGGAAGTGTTGTAAGAAGAAGGGAGATCCAAAATACGGAGCTCACTGTGATGTGCCTCACATGAGAAACACTCGAGTTCTTGTTCCTGTTGTTCCACCACCACTCCCGCCACGTGGATTCCGAAACGAATCATCCAATTTCATCGGATTATCAACATCATCAGCAACAACTTCGACTCGTCCAATGGTTGAAGTCAAACCGTATTCCTCAGATATTCGATATTCAAGATCTCCATCTGCATGTGGAAGTTCAAAGGGTTCTAGACGAGATCCATTACCATCCGACAAATTCAGAAGACCTGAAGAAGTCGGAAATAGGATTCGAAATTCAGATCGGAGAGATCCACGTGGAGATGTGCTAACTTCTTTGAGAACTTCACCAGACGATTGGTTGGGAATAGATGATCGAATAGATTCTGCATTGAAGTAAGAATTATTATTGTTTTTCTCAATTCAATTTCTTTAATTTTCAGATACTCTCGTGCTGCCGCTGGAGCATTAGTTGTGGGTGACACGGAACTTATGCCTGTCGTCAATGATGATGACTACATGACAATGAAACCAAGAAAAGATCAGAACTTCGAGAAAGGACCTCCAGCTGTACCAGCCCATGCCACCCCATTGGAATCTGTTCTTAAAATGTCATCTTCCAGTGTGGATGAGGCTCCTAGGAATGCTCTTTATGACGATCCAATATCTCTAAATTCGCAATCGTTTGACGATATTGATGAGGAAGTCAACATTCACATATCCTAAAAATCAGTATTACCTATTCAAAGATTTCACTTTTTTTTTCAATTCACTCTCAAAAAATCAAGGTGCTTTTCTTCCCATTCATTTTCCCCATAATTCTTTCATTCACTTTTTTCTGTCCCAGTGTTTTTATGTTTTTAGTTTCTCCCCTTCTCACCATTGCACACAACCAAAACCTCATGTTTTCACTTTTGTTGGAAATTCCACCCTGATATGGGTCAAATAGTTACGTGTATCAAAAACAACTCCCTCTCTGTCTCAAACTTCATTTGCATAGCTTTGTATTTTTCATTCCCCTTTTTGTTGTCACATTAAAAAAAAAAGAAATTGTGAATTTAATAAATTATTATTTTAAATTGATCCATTTAATTCTTTAATGAACAAACATGAAAAAAGGAGTTATTCATTCAGATAATTCAATTTTTCGTAGTTATGCACTACTCCAAAAGATTTTTAAAATTTTTGAGAAATAGACACTCATAAAATCATATTATTAATTCGAAATTACAAACGAGAGCCCTCAAATTGAGATAAAACCAATTAAACATTTTATTCTTTATATCGAAACACATAATCAAAGATTCTCAGATTTCAGTGATTCTGGACCAGTTGTGATGCCTCCAGAAGATGGTGTTGATGGAATTCCTGGTGTTCTTGGAGTCGCCTGATTTGGTGTTCTATTATCACTTTTCACTGTTTCCTCTTGAGTTGGTGCCAGTTTTCTCTCTTTTTGTGACCCTCTTTTCGATGATTGTGGAAGTGGAGCCGGCGTCTTTTCCTTGCTTTTCCGAGGTGTCTTCTGCTTGCTTTTTTCTTTTTTATCAGACATTGGCATCTCAGAATTGATCTGGAAAATTTGAATTAAATTTATTTGAGTACAGTAATCTTCTAACTTTTGTGCTCTCCTGATCTTCTTTACTGGGACTATCAATTGTGTCACCACCAACATCGTCCTTTGAACGACATGGATCATGACTTCGGATAACGAAAACAAGACCGGTATCACTCCAATGGACATGAGCACTGGAAATCAAAAACTTCTAAATTCTAAACGTATCTCTTAACCCACTTCTTCCATTTCTCTTTCCTCTTATCCACCGCTGGCTCTCTTATTTCCGTTCGATATCTTTGTGGTGGATGAGGTGGCAATGCATCAACCATACTTTTCAATTCCTCTTTACTTGTCGTATTCACAATTCGACGACTTTGAAGTTGTAATTTCGGAAAGTATTGATTCGTTTTGTGTCGTGTTGCTGCCTCTTTTGCTGCATTCTCATCAGTGCATCCGCCTGGAAGTGTTGGCGTCAGAAGACGTACATTAGCAAGTGGATCCTCTTGCACGTCAACAGTTTGAATATTTTCTTGAGTTTCGTCATAATTCGGATCTGATGCTGGCTGTTGTGGTTCTTGAATTGATGGTTTTACTGGAGGTCTTCGTGATTTTCTGCCACAAATGGTCATTAAAATATTAATCTGAAAAAATAATATTTTTATTGTTATCTTATTTTTGGGTCGCTAACCAGGAAAAAGAGCAGAAACGTCATATAATGACTTATCAAAATGTTGAATATATCCATCTTTGTGAATAATATAAATAATTTTATTTTCCCACTTTGAAAGTAAAAAAAATCTCATCCCACTTCGGAATGAAACTGGAGCTCGCGTTTTACAAAAAAAAAGTTGTGTTGTATGATGGGTGAAAAAGGTAACCAGCTCATGGAAATTTCTTGTTCCTGCAGTGACCAACTTTTTTTTGATTCAACATTTGTCTTTTTTTTCTTGATTGGAATGATTTATGAGAAGGACCTGGTTAAACAAAGCAGAAAAACAAGTTATTTTTTACAAGCTCAGTAGAAAATCTGACATCGAACAAGAAGAAAAAACCATATTCAAAAGCTACATTAATCTTTAACCTACAGTTATCTTCAAATCTGAACCATAATCCGAAACAACCGTATATTTTCAAATGAAATCACCTACAGTAACCCTATTCAAAAATTCAAATACAGTATTACTGCAAGTTATGAATTGGATTATTTTCGAACTTATGATACATTTATAGGGTTACTGTAGGTGATTTCATTCGCAAAATATTCAAATTGCAAGACTACTGTAGGTTAGTGTAAGTTCCAAAAGCAAAATCAAGGGCAAATTACGAAATTGTCATAGAAACATCCGCAAAACTTGAAAAACTCAATAAATCTTAACTGAAACCACATTTTTACATAGGCATCTCATTTTTTAAGATTTTGATTTTCAAGATTATAAAATTAGAAGAATTTATTGAAGTAAAAAAGTTCACTGAACACATGGTGCGAACTCATTGACCTTCTTCTGAACCTCCTCATCCGTCGACTTGTTCTTAAACCACAAAGCCATTGCTCTGTAAACCGTTCCATACTGCTCAGCATTCTCGATCAGACCACATCTTTCTCCTCTCAACTTGTCTACAATCTCCTTCGTATTCACTTCTTTTCCTTTTTGAACATGGAGCATTGAAGTGAAAAGAGCAAGCATTGTTCCAGCACGACCCATTCCGTTCATACTCATCAGCACTGTGTTCTGAAAATAATACGTTTTTAATTTTTTTTTGTTACTTTTTTTATTCAGAATTCTCACTTCATTAGTCTTGAGAACCTTCTCAATGGTAGAAACCAAGTCTCCAACATTATCCAATCCTCTTTTCTGCTTCCAATTGTGAAGATGATAGACCGTTGTGAACAAGGAATTCGAGCATCCATCTGGCAGAATCTCCAATGTGTATGCAGTCATTGCAACCGTCGAATCCACTTTCTTGTTGTTCAAAAACATTTTGCCATGATTGGCAAATGTTCCACTGAGAATGGGAAAGATCTGTTGGAGAGTCACCGAGCATTCCAATGGCATCAGGGCAAGAACAACCGAGTGAACTTCCTCCTGGAAAGAAAAGTTATCTTTCGATTTTAGAGATTATATTTTTACCTGGAAGATCATTCTCCAAAAGTCTTCAATATTCACAGGAGTAGACACATCTGGAACTTGTGTGACAATCATTGTCCGATTGAATTCTGGAACAGCGACTTTTGCTGCACAAATGAAGTTATCCGGAGCATGAGTGAGTTTGAATATTTTGTCATCTACAATTGGGAAGTCGGGAGCTCGAATCTTATGCATGTTGTTCTTGAACGAAATGCATGAATTGAGAGGTGGCTTTTCGTTCCGAAGCTCTTTGAATGCGGAGGCGATAAGGCCCGAATCTGAAATTTTTCCATATTGATCCAGTATTTATCCTCAAAGGTTCGAGGATAAATTACCAAAAGCTCCGCTCGCAATCATCTTCTTAGCCATTTCTTCTCCGCTCCATTGTTCCTTCTCCTTCTCTTTTGCTCGTTCTCTTCTCTCCATCTTACTACATCCTTCTCCATTGGTCAGCAACCCAATACATCCACCACTTCCAGTTGTTCCAGTAGTATCCCTTGATGCCGTTTCCGTTACTTTCTTCTTCTTCCTCCGTTCACTCTGGTTCTTCTTTCCTTTTTCTTCCGCTCACTTTTCTCCATTCCTCCCGTTTTGTCCCTCTTTCCTCTCTCGCTCCTTTCTCCTCCCTTCGACTTCTTCTTACGTCTTGATCTTTGCGACTTGTTCATTCTGAAAATGAATTTGTGCAGATAGAAGGATAGGGGATTCAGAAGGCTCACATCTATACTTGACACGTTGTTTTGAAACTGTTTTGAAACGTTCAAAAGCCAAGAACTAACTAGAGAGTTGGTTTTCTATGCGTTTTTAAAGTTTTTATATTCACGTGGAAGTTCACGATTTGATTCTCAAAAAAGACGGAACGAGATTTCAAACTTACAATTATATTAGCGCTGATTCGACCACAAGAAACTTGTTGAGAAACAAAAAATAACGGAATTTCCACGGAAATTTCGCAAAATTCCTATTACTCAAAAGAAGTTCAAGAAATTTAATAATTTCCATGTTGACGTGGATTTGACCTAATTAGTTTTAATCAACGAGTTGCAACGCGTGATTTTTTCATGCAACGTTTAAAAGTTTGATCCTCAGCCACATAATTCAGCAGTGAATTTTTTCTAAAATCTCACGTTTACTGGGGCGCGATTTCTGACCCATTGGCTTGAACCCAAGTGGCGCCAGCCGAAAACTTTGCAAACTACAGTAACCCTTGTTTATAAGACAGGGTTGTTGTTTTGATTAAAAAACTATAAGATTATACACTTTTTAGGCAAATTATCATTGACTATACGTATCATTGACTACAAAGTCTCATTGACTACAGTAGTATCATTGACTGCAAAGTTTCATTGACTACTTTTTGTATCATTGACTACCACAGGTAAAATGCGAACGGATCCGTTACGGACGCTCAGCGTTCGCGCGCGGTTGAAATAGGAACCGCATACGGACCGCACGCGACCCGTTTTCAGAAAACCACAGCACATTATTCCGTATTCCTCCGTATTTATTTATTTATTGTCTATTCAAAATAATCGCGCGGGG